TCTGTCCGTGAAGGCCTGTGTGTTGCCATGAAGCTGAGCAGGCATCAGCGGGGCTTCCAGATGAAGGCAGGGTAGGAAGAAAGGCCAATGAAAGCCCTGTGGGTCGCAGCACTCTGATCCAAACCTGCTTTGGTAGGAGACTGTCCGGGACCGGGTGGAGATGGCTGACCCTGAAGCAGCAGCAGCAGCAACATTAAAATATACACTGTCGCTTTAAAGAGAGTGAACGAGACACCAGTTTAAAAACAAGCAACTGATGGCCCGGGTGTACTAACTGCAGAGGGTTCTGAATCACAGCCTCGGCCAAGACCAAGACACCGGACCTTCTCGGCAGGAAGAGGGAAGAGCTGCAGAGACAGCTGGACGGTCTGAGGGTGGACTCACCCCCGGCTGCAGCCACCCAAGAGACAGGTGGCAAGTCCAAGCTCACCCTCATCCACCAGACTCAGCTGGAGACCTTCGGAGATCTACAAGGGCCAGAAGGACACCTCTGGCGTCCACGGCCCAAGAAAACACAGGCGTGCTGCAGGCTCGCCAAGCGGGAGGAGAACCCGATGGCCAAGAAACGGCCACGGAGGGAGCAGCTGCCCCAGTGCAGCAGCCCGCAGTCAAGAGGAGAGCCCCTCTCGGGTCACTGAAACCCTAACTCAGTGCTTCTCAACCTCCCTGATGGGTGGACCCTTCTGGATGGAGGAGCGGTGCCTCGGTTCCTAAGACCATCAGAAATATGGTCTTCGGTGACCCCTGTGAAAGGGTCGTTCGACCCCCAGGTTGAGAACTGCTGCCCTAACTGTTCAGAAAAGGAATTTACCAAGATGAAAATAGAATGACAGAAAAGTACAAGTGATTTGCTCATGCAACCCAGCCCATTTAGAATGAAAATGCCCGCCCGCCGGGGACAAATATACCACACCCGGAATCGGTGAAAGGCAAGGTGCAAGGACTTAGGGCCATCTGTGGACACTAACAAAATTCCTGGCGGAAAATGGACACAGGACATGAATCGCTTAGACAAAGGAAACCCAGCTGACGTCAACGAAGTCGGAAAAGACAATGGCCTGTGGCTGTTGGGTGCCTCCAGGCCATGTGGGCTCCAGGGACCGTGTGACAAAGGACAACTGTCCCTGACCGTTTTCTAGGATGTCACCTGCCCGGGAACAGACCCCCGCCTAGCCACTGGGTGGGTTTGAACCCCCGGCCTCTCAGTCTTCACCATCCTGCCTCCAGGGCTACCTACTCTAGGGTTCAGCCCACCAAACTCACAGCCATCGAGTCAGCACCAACTCGGAGCCGCCCTGGGGAACAGGGTAGAACTGCCCCTGGGGGTGTCTGAGAGGGTAACGCTTTACGGGAGTAGAGAGCCTCGTCTTTCACCTTTCACCTTCGCCCTCGAGTGTCTGGTTGTTTTGAACTGCCGACCTCGCGGATCGCAGCCTGGTTTGCAACCCGCCACCAAAGCCATTAGAAATGGAAAAGATGCAAATCCGTTCCTGGATGTTGAAATGCCATATTGTATCCATGAAAAGAGACCGAAAAAAAGGAAGAAAGAAAATAACAGACCGTGGACGAAGCAGGGGAGGAGCTGGTTCTGAACAGTTCCCGGGCCCCGGGACCGGCCGCCATTTCCAGGCGCCAGAATCTCCCTGACCGTCCAAAGACTGTCATTCGGCTGACAAGAGAGGAGCTATGGGGGCAAAGCTGCCCAGAGCAGCTTTATGTACAATAGCGAAGCTCTCCCAATCTCCCAAAGACCTAGCAATCGATTCTGGCACATTGACTGCGGAGAGTATTTGGAAACCAGCAGAGTGCCCGATATGTAAAAACACGAGCAGTCATTGATGGAGTAATAAGTGAACAGTTGTCTGCCACCATGCTTAAAATACTGTGGTGGGTGGCGTGGGGGTGGGAGACACAATTGGAAAAGAGAAGGATCAATATCCCCAGTGATCGGGGAGGTCCGTGTATTTGAACATCAGCCCCTTAGACTCTCCATCTCAGAGGTGGTTGTTCTTGGATGCCACCTCTAATCAGTCCCCACCCACAGCAACCCCATGTGACAGCCTAGCCCCCCCCCCACACACATAGGGTTTCTAGACTGCAGTCTCCCTAGAGCAGTGGTTCTCCACCTTCCTCATGCCTCGACCCCTTCATGCAGTTCCTCATGTGGTGGTGACCCCCCCAACCCTAACATTATTTTCATTGTTGCTTCATCACTGTCATTTTGCTACTGTTATGAATCGGGCAACCCCTGTGAAAGGGTCCTTCAACCCCCAAAGGGGTTGAGACCCACAGGTTGAGAACCACTGCCCTAGAGGCAAAGATGGTGAGACTTCACCTCACGTTCTTTAGACATGGTGTCGGGAGAGACCGGTCCCTGGAGAAGGACATCGGGCTTGGTACAGTAGAGGGGCAGTGAAGAAGAAGGCCTCAATGAGATGGACAGACAGTGTCTGGAACTATGGGATCGGGCATGAGGACCATTGTGAGGCTGGCACGGGACCAGGCAGTGTTGCCTTCTGTGGTCCATCTGGTTGCTGGGCTTCAGAATGGGCTCCTGGGCTCCTAGCGGGGCGGGTCACCAAGACTTTCTCCTGGGAGGCGCCGCTGTGTAGCCTCAATCCCCAACCTTGACCGCTTTAACCTTAATCACCTTGACCGTTTAACCACAGCACCACCAAGGCTCTGTCTCCACAGCTCTGGAGGGAATCGGAGCCATGATCCCCAGCCCACAGGGGCCAAAGACCAGCCCGCTGGCTCCCTCCCTCCGAGTGGGCCGGTCAGTTAGCCGCCCACCTTCCTCCACCAGCAGGAGGCTCCGATTTTAAAATGCAGGTTCCAGACCCATCTAATCTGATGGGAGGAGGCCAGGATATTTGCATTTTTAATGGAGGGGGGAGGTGTGGTTCCTGGACGCACCCACCGGAAGTTTGTGAACCAGGGAGGAGAGGGAGCAGCTTCAGGGCCTGAGATGCGAATTTTCGGAAAGGTCCTTGGGGGGATACTGGGAGGGAGCAGGGCACTGGGAGGCCTGGGGTTTGCCTGGGCTTGTTCCCGAGGCAGGGACAGCTGCGTGGACCTGACCTGGCGCTACCTCATCTCCCGCTGGACCCCTCGCTGTCTCAGCAGTGTCCACAGGGACCCGCTAACCCTTGTCTTCCCTTTGCCCCCACCCCTAGTGAGGTCATTCGGACCCTCCCTTCCCTGGAGTCTCTGCAGAGGCTGTTTGACCAGCAGCTCTCCCCTGGCCTTCGCCCACGTGCTCAGGTAAGGGCCCTGGGGTGAGGGAGGGGATGCCCTAAATCGGGCAGCCAGTGCCCCACTGGACAATGACATATGGGGAGATTGGGGGGGGGGGACAGCCACTGAGCCCCAAGCTTCCTGGGAAGGCACTTCTCTCGCTGGGCCCCACCATCAGCAAGGAGCACTGGTGGGGTCATGGCTCAAGTGTCCAGCTACCAACCCCGAGGTTGGTGGTTTGAACCCACCAGCTGTGGCAGGGGGGAAGATGCAGCAGCCTGGGAAACCTTCTGGGGCAGCTGTCCTCTGCCCTCTAGGGCGGCAGTGAACTTGGGTGGAGGAAGGAAGGGAGTGCGCCCACCAGCCCCAGTGGCCTTCCCCTGCATCTCACCAGCTCGGAAAGGAAAGGAATCCGAATCCGCTCCCCCAGGCTCGGTTCTTTGGGACCCACCTCTTGCCCCAGGAACCAGGAGCCCAGAGGGGCAGTGGCTGCCCAGGGGGCTGTGGTTAGCAGCAAGTTCGGCTGTTTGAAACCACCCGCAAAAGCAAGACAAGACTTTCTACTCCTGGGAAGAGCCACCGTCTCAGAAGCCCAGAGGGGCAGTGAGGGTGGTGTCTGGGTCTTGTCCCAGGAAGAGCAAGGTGAAGGTCGGGCCCCC